AAAAAAGGTATTGGTCCTGATCATGCAATGTGCTGCATGACATAGGCCCATGAATTAAACAGCCCTCTGCCTGAATGCAGATGTAAGCCTGTGTTGGTACATGCTGGACTGTGGCCAGTGTTTCTCAGCTATACTTTTAAAGAATTTCAATGCTGGTACTTGATTCTTATTTACACTGAGGGGACATTTCACTGTTCTGGCCTTAATATTAGTGTAAATGTGTACTCTATACCCTTTCTCCTGCAGAATGGTATAAAGTGGTTTTAGTTTTAATTAGAAGCAGGCACCTCGTGTTTTCCTCTGTGTATGAAGAGAAATATCTGGTATTGAGAGGAAAATTACTCTGTATATTTGAAAGGTGTATCTTGTCTTTTCAACTGAGTTTTGTACATTTACTTAGGTCAGATCTACACTAGATCAGGAAGCTCAGCTTAAGGTATGCAACTCCAGCTACATGGAATACATAGCTAGAGTCGGTTTACCTTTAGCCAAGCTTGGCACCCATAATGGGAGGCAGTTTGAAGCAAATGCTTCCTTTGGCTTTTCTTACTCCTCGCAAGAACAGGAGTACTGACCACCTTTGGAGGCGCCCTCTGAGTTTAATTTAGCAAGTCTTAACTAGACTCACTAAATCAAACTCCAGAAGATTGATTGCAGCAGTATCAATCTTCCACAGAGTGAAGACAAGTCCATAATATGAAAAAACTATTTACATATTGAACTCATGGTAAAATATATAATAACAATACTTAATATTAATTTATAATTAATGGCAGTTTGCTGACTTGTATAATATGTCCCTGCCCTAAATAGCCATATTATCTTGATCTTTGTACATTACCACTACTCCAAATTTGCAGAACTGGCATAAGGAAAAATGGAAGATATATTGTTTCAACTTTTTGTATACTTAAGCCACACATCCACTCTACATCAATTGCTTGGCTGCTGACTGGTGTTCAAACCAAAGCAAAAGGTATATGGAAGAGATCTAGCCCCCAACTAGTACATAAATCCTGTAGGTCCCACAAATATATTGCAGAGCCCACAAAAAGTACTTCTAGACACAGACACAAGCTAGTATTTTGATAGCCATGTCTTTATGTATTTGTATGGGGTTACAGTCTTGTACATTTTTACCCAAGATTATTGTCTCTGCAAGAAAGAATTTAATTCCACATAGCACCACAACACTGGGAAAGCTACTCATCTTATTCTGTAATATCTTCCCAATGCTACTACTTTCAGTCTCTATTTCTGGGAATGAAACTGCAGTTTGAGAGGATAGGGATTGTCCTGTGATAAAATGTATATGCAAGGTAATATGATACCCATGTATTAAGACCCTGTGATTGTCAACAAGTCTCCACAGACTGTGAGGGAAAGAATTACACACAGTTGTTCATGTTTCCTTTTGATGTGGATCAGACTGAATCTGCTTTCTAGCCAGTTTGCCATTATACTGTTTGTTAAATTTTATTTTTTCTCCAGAGGATCTTGCGGAACCAGATCACAGCCTGGCTAGACAGCAGAGATGTATTTAAGTCTTTATACTTGATTTTGTGTTCCCTCTTGGTTAGTTTAAGTGAGAGGGGCAGGATGGAGGGGAAGAGGGGGGCTGGAAAGAGAAAAGAACCTTTGATATGTGTTACTCATGTGTATTCCGCAACAAAGGCTCATAGCTTTTACACATCAACCATCTATATCTGTCTTAAATTTTCAATATTTCTGTTCTAAATAAAGCTAGTTGGCTGCTTGAAAGTGTTTCAAAGCTTCCAATATTAAAAAGTCCAGCTACTGAAGATATTGATTTAGCATGTACCTAACATTAAGCACTTTGAATAGTGCCAGTGAAGTGAAACGGACTGTATATGCACTTGAAGTTAGGTGTACACTTAAATGTTTTGCTTAATCGAGGTTTAACTGCAGAACTGAAGTATCTGAGTTTGAACATATGATAATGGTCACACAAGTGTTATCACAGCTAGACACCAAATTGCTTTCATTTTGCCAGCATAGCCTTATTAGTATGTCATCATTAACTCACCCTCAGCCTGACATCAAGTCACTGCTCATGTCTCCTGACTGTTAATGCTGTTCAGTGTTTGGCTTGCACAGAGTGGGTCTTCCTTCTCTCAGCTGGTTGGCCACTTAGCTTCGTAATGCTGCAGTTTCTATAACCGGCCAAACTAAATGACCACATTTGAACGCTCCCCAGCTTTGGGAAGTCTGATTTAGCTCTGAATTGTGTAGCTAGGTCCTTCTTTAATTGTGAAAAGGCTTGTCATCCCTTCTAAAAAAAGGGATCAATTTTTCCTTTTAAGAAAAAAACCACACCCTGGAATATTGTTTTGTAAACAAGAATCAGAACTAACCACAGAATGAGGATCGATCCAAAGTATTAAGCAACTAAATTTGAAAGTCATGGCCCTATGTTAGAGGTACTTAGGGAAGCTTAAAACATACTTAAAACAGTTTTTTCTAGTAAGTATTAGTTGGAGTGTAGGGGACCATATTGTGGACACTGCCTCATAAACCTGCCTCCATTTGTAAGTGCTATATTTCTGCTAGGTTGTGTGACTTGTGCTTATTTAAAGCTTTTAAGACCAGATCACCTAGTCTCTGACTTTTTTTGCACTATCACTGTCCATGCTATACCCGGCATAACAGCATGTACTTTGTGTACCTAGTCCCTCTTTTCCTAGTGCTGATAGCTCCTGCCACTTTTTTAGGCATGTACTTGGATGCACATCAGATTCTTGGTATCAGCCCCCACACCTACGTTAAATCTCAAGACAATACATTTATAAATACATTAAAAGCAAGAGGAAGACCAAGGACAGGGTAGGCTCATTGCTCAATGAGGAGGGAGAAGCAGTAACAGGAAACTTGGAAATGGCGGAGATGCTCAATGACTTCTTTGTTTCGGTCTTCACCGAGAAGTCTGGAGGTGTGCCTAACGTAGTGAATACAAGCAGAGAGAGGGTAAGTTTAGAAGATAGGATACACAAAGAACAAGTTAAAAATCACTTAGGAAAGTTAGAGGTCAGCAAGTCACCAGGTCCTGATGAAATGCATCCCAGGATACTCAAGGAGCTGATAGAGGAGCTATCTGAGCCTTTAGCTATGATTTTTGAAAAATCATGGCAGACAGGGGAAATTCCAGAAGACTGGAAAAGGGCAAATATTGTGCCCATCTATAAAAAGGGGAATAAGAACAACCCAGGAAACTACAGACCGGTCAGTTTAACGTCTGTCCCAGGGAAGATAATGGAGCAGGTAATTAAGGAAATCATATGCAAACACTTGGAAGGTAATAAAGTGATAGGGAATAGCCAGCATGGGTTTGTGAAGAACAAGTCATGCCAAACTAATCTGATAGCTTTCTTTGATAAGATAACGAGCCTTGTGGATAAGGGAGAAGCGGTGGATGTCATATACCTAGACTTTAGTAAGGCATTTGATACGGTCTCGCATGATATTCTTATTGATAAACTAGGCAAATATAACTTAGATAGGGCCACGATAAGGTGGGTGCATAATTGGCTGGATAACCGTAGTCAGAGAGTTGTTGTTAACGGTTCTAAATCCTGCTGGAAAGGGATAACAAGTGGAGTTCCGCAAGGGTCTGTTTTGGGACCCGTACTGTTCAATATCTTCATCAATGATGTAGATATTGGGATAGAGAGTACGCTTATTAAGTTTGCAGATGATACCAAACTGGGTGGGGTTGCAACTTCTTTGGAGGATAGGGACATAATTCAAAATGACCTTAGCAAGTTAGAGAAATGGTCAGAGGTAAACAGGATGAGGTTTAATAAAGAGAAATGCAAAGTGCTCCACTTAGGAAGGAACAATCAGTTCCATACATACAAGATGGGAAGCGACTGTCTAGGAAGGAGCATGGCGGAAAGGGATCTAGGGGTCATAGTGGACCACAAGTTGAATATGAGTCAACAGTGTGATGCTGTTGCAAAAAAAGCAAATATGATTCTAGGTTGTATCAACAGGTGTGTTGTAAGCAAAACTCGTGAAGTCATTCTGCCGCTCTACTCTGCACTAGTTAGGCCTCAGCTGGAGTACTGTGTCCAGTTCTGGGCGCCACATTTCAAGAAAGATGTGGAGAAATTGGAAAGGGTACAGAGAAGAGCAACAAGAATGATTAAAGGTTTAGAGAACATGACCTATGAAGCCAGGCTTCATGAACTGGGCTTGTTTAGTTTGGAAAAAAGAAGATTAAGGGGGGACATGATAGCGGTTTTCAAATATCTAAAAGGGTGTCACAAGGAGGAAGGAGAAAATTTGTTCCTCTTGGTTTCTGAGGACAGGACAAGGAGTAATGGGCTTAAAGTGCAGCAGGGGAGGTTTAGATTGGACATTAGGAAAAAATTCCTAACTGTCAGGGTGGTCAAATATTGGAATAAATTGCCAAGGGAGGTGGTGGAATCTCCCTCTCTGGAGATATTTAAGAACAGGTTAGATAGACATCTGTCAGGGATGGTGTAGACAGAGCTTGATCCTGCCTTGAGGGCGGGGGGCTGGACTCGATGACCTCTTGAGGTCCCTTCCAGTCCTATTATTCTATGATTCTATGAATACATTTCCACAGCCGGCTCCCACAGTGGAGTTAAATCATGTGCTGTATGTCCTCTTCGTTTAATAAATGTTGTTTCTAAATGTTCAGCATAATGGTGTCATACCTCATGAGTAGGATAAAGTACACATGTAACTTGCTTTACTTCAGATTTAAAAAAAAATAAAGTGTATTGTGCATTGTTACCCTAGCTAAAAGATTAGGAGGAATCAATTCT